CGTTGAAATGCATGTCCTCTGACGTAACGGTAGGAGGTAGTGACAATGGATGATGACGTATAACAGTGTAGTAGTGGTGTCCCATTTCTTAGGGGAAATTTTTTAACCCTACCCCTTTCCACTTCATTTCAAGGGGCAAGGGGAAGGGGTGAGGGGTAGGCAAAGGGGTAGAAAATAGAATTGGGATTGGGCCTTAGGGTGGTGTTTTTAAAGTGATAGAGAAAGTGATAGGTGCCATATTACTGCTTGTATTTATGGCTTCTATATGTTCATTTTACCCAAAGCTAACATTTAGCACCATGTCAGCCTTTGACAATAAAAAACAAACGTGACTTTATCTCTATTTCTGCCTCACACACGTTGAGCTCAATAAATCTCCACTCTCCGGGCGCAAACTACTGCCGACTGAAGTGGAATCAGCACGCACCTGCCCCAATGTGCATTCTAGTTCGCCCAGGAAGTCGTCATCGCCGAGGTCAACCGTCTTGTTGTCGATGTCATAGACCGCAAACTTCAGCTGCTGCACCAGCTCGAAGTAGTAATCCACCATGAACTTCTTGGCAAACTTGGGGTTCAGGCAGTTCTTGACCCTCTCGGTACGACCCACCTGCCGAAGCAATGCAATAATTTTTAATTAACTTCGTTAAACTGAAGTGACAAGTACGACATGGCCTTGCTGAGATCAGCTTGGGTTCTAAGCCTCGTTATAACCTAAATATAGCACTGTTTCATCTTTGAAGCTCTACTCAATGGGAGGGCAAGAACAGCCAAGACCTCAAACCACTGTGTCCCGGACGTGTTCATCAGCAGGATGCACAACGGATCCGACTTGGAGCCCACATCCATGTCCAGCAGGTTCTCACAGGATACAGTCAGCTCCACCTTGGTGACGCACTGTGCCGCCATCCTGGTCCTCCTGGAGACTGACGCGCAATGATGTCAGTACACACGGTGCACACATACACATTCACATTATGTTTCATCATCTCTCAGTGTTACCTCCAGGGTCACCGGTTCGAATCCCCACCATGGCTCTGAGCATGTGTGGTTTGCACGTCCTCCTTATTGGCACAAGTTTTCCCGAGATATCCAAATATATGCAGTTTGGTGAATTGGCTTTTCTAAATTCCTGCTATTCTGTGAATGTGTCTCAAAGCCCAGCCTGGGTGGTCCTGCCTTGTGCTGCATGGGATGGCGTCCAAGCTCAGTGTAATACTGCACTGGATGACACTAAATAAATTTCAGGTTTATTAAATTAGGAGTAGCGCTTTGGGACAGTCATGGTGTAAAGGTTGCTAAATTAGATTTACTTGCACTGTACACACACACTCGGAGGCCGTAATGCACATAGACAAAATCATCCTGCAGAAAGCAGACAGGAAAAGGGGGCATTTTAAGTCCCAGACCGTATGCCCCTGCAAGCTGGCTTGACGCCTTGTTTGCTCTCACTAAGGCTGTCGTCATAGCAACACATGTGCATACAAAAGGCACAAACGCTTTGAAGGGTGGAAAACTGTCATCGGTCACAGAGCCGTTTCACTGGACTGGTTTATTTACGCAATCACGGCACAGGAAACACTGAGTGAGTTTTTTATAAGGAGGTTTTCTTGTTTCCTTACGTGTGTCATACCTGTAATGCGAGTCACTACTGTGCCACAAAAACAGAAATGATCATAAATACCTTAACATAGGCTGGGAGCTCAAACCACCTAACCTTCCTACACCCCAGGGGGAATCACACCCTGGAGCTACTCCCAGATCGTTACTCAACATAATCTACATCCCCGGCGCCTCCCCATCTGCGTTTTAATGTGAACTATCCCGATAACGCGCGGACTATCAACCCCAGTAAATGAACTAGGGGCTACAGCTTGCGATTAAAGTAACGAAGGACCGCATATTTCCAAACCACTGTGTTACACAAAATTCCTTTTCCTGCTGCGTAAACGCCCATCGTCTGGTAAACATTAAACGCCACGTACTAGCAAGAAGGAAACAAAATAAAACACTAAACATAACCAGTGGCCTGTACTACGAAGCGGGGTTACTGGCTTATCGGGGTAACTTGTCGGATTTAAGGTAGTCTGGGCAAAATGTAAGTGAACGAATATGAAGTCCATTTAAACGTGGTACCTTAAATCCGACAAGTTACCCCGATAAG